ATTGAAAAGGCAGAATACGTGCTGCTCTTCCAATTACAACTCATGTCAGATCATAAACAAAAACAAGTGACGTCAATAATGACCTTGTCAATCAGTATTGAAAGCGGGTTAGTAACTTACCGAAGTTAGAGGAAATAGAAATTAGAAAAGAAAATCTGCTTTTAACATAGAACTTAGATGTAAAGTATATTTCGAAGCAATAAAACCCAATTTATGAACAATAATATTGATTGCTAATATATTAACTGAACGTATTGAAACGAGTCATATGTAATAAATCCAAAAACTTGTGCTGTAATCGGTGCAATTGAAAGCACATGGATTAAGAAAAAGGGTTTAGTTTATCTACGGTCGGGCGATCCATCTGTGTTCATCTCCAACAAATAGGGACGCTTTATTTTCAGCTTATAAAGTTACATTTCAGACGCCGTACACATCAACGCATTTCTAATTCTAAACAAGTCCTGACTTAAATTAATCATCAACCAAAATCCGCAGCTATAAGAAAACAAAAAGCATTTAATTCAGTATGGTTGTACTCTCACATAGCATATTACCACCTGCATTTACATCAAGTTTGGCTTTCGAATCTTTCATTTATTCAGTATTCTACGAATGGATTTCGTATTTTAAGCGATTATGTAAGTTCTCTTTTAGCTTCATCTCTTTCACCCTTGCATTGGCGTCAAAATGATATTAATTACATCTTCTGAGATCAATACACTAAGCATTTCCTGATGATTCGAACTTCGTCCTTATGATTTCTTACAACTTTGACATGCTCACTAAACAAATTTCTCATTGTCTTACTGACTTTGCCATATTAATGACCTTTATTAAGCTTAGTATCTTATTCGACAAATCCTTTGGCAAGTCATGGAACGACTTGTAATGAAAATATAATAATTTATTAGTTTACAGGTAAAGCTTTGTGTGCCCCTCACTACTGTAGATTCAAATTCTGACAGGCTATCCAGCTAGCTTACGGATCGTCGGTGGTTTTATTCAGGTGCTCATTGGTACCTGAAATAATGCAAAGAGTGGCACTTGAGGTTTCCTCCACAAGTAAAGCTGATGTTCCATATACTGTGTTGGTATGACGTTTATCCAACCAACCAAACAAATAACATAACAGGAATATATACATTTTTTTCTAACTCCATACATTTCTACGTTCAAGCACGGGTGTTAATTATTACATAAATATACAGGTGGGAACTTAAATGGTTTATGTCCTTGGTTGAATTGTCTTAAATTGAAATGTTGTGCTTCTTTGGTCTTTCGGGAGTACTATTTAATAGCTCTATAAGTATTCACACTTATTCAGACGCAGGGCTCATTGATTTTAGCATCGCCAAGCGTCATCAATTTCATGTGTTCCGTAATTGTAGCATTTGAACACAGTAAGTCTATAATATGTAGTGACCTTTAATTATTTAATACATTAATTATTAATAACTTTCACATGGACTTCAATCTAAAGCTACGATACCTGCATTTATTTTTTTATTAAATGTTGAAATAGAAGTGAACCGTAGTTTTTATGAGTACTTTATCACCCATGGATCTCATCAGCACATATGAAGCGTGAATGAAAGTTTGGACACCGATTACTTTGTTTCAATAATATGTTTCAATCAGGGTTTGGTTGCATGCTTGGCATTATTTTGCAGAATTTGTATTTTAATTCCGTTTAGTGACATTTTCTTCATGCATATTGAATGTTTTGGACATACCAGAAAGCACGCCAAAAACACTTCTACAAATTCTGCATGAAACCCCGGTAGACAAATGGTACATATTTTCTCTTTACCGGTGCCTCATATTTTGCGAGCTTTATCATATTCAAAATACACTTTAATATAAACGACACAAAAAGAAACGATAATGTATAAGGAAAACGTTTTGGGGCACCCGAGGCCTAGTGGTTAAGGCCGTTAATTTCAGGCCGCGCCAGTGTCTTCGGATTCACTGATAAGAGAACGCTTTCCAGCTAGCTTACTGAATGTCGTTGGTTTTACTCAGGTGCCTATGTCTAAAAATGCACACTGCTGCACAAGAGGTCTTTGTCCAACAGTAGAGCTAGAAGGTCGCCATTTGACCATATCTATGTTGTTGCGACGTATCTCCACATACAGACACAAAGGAAGAAAACAAAGAAGAAACAAAGCTAATGTTTTATTGATTAAAGTAGCATTATTATTATTTTCTTTGACAAGCTTAGCTGAATTGGCTTCAAATATAAACATTTACTATTATAATGGGCATATACAAATAATTGATAGGGAAAAATGTTATAAAAATACTGCCTGGATACTCTTAAAAGTATCGGATTTAAACTGGAATATTTTCATCTGGATACTCTTATAAGATTTTGAATGAAATATTTTTTTTATAAAGTTGTAAGTGATTAATTAAGAACATTTCTACGATGAGTAATAATATTTCGTTTCGGCTTACCTGCCATCTTAACAGTATTCAGTTCAAATTACATCACATTTTAAGTTTTCATAATTGAAGGGGTCAGTGCAAGACTGTACAAAACATTATTTTACATTTTTTTGAGAAAGAAAGGGTATTTTATGAGATTTAAGTTTACATTGATATACTTTGTAAGCAATTTACTAATAGGTAATGTTATAAATAAAAAGAGTCATGTATATAACAATTTATACTTGGTTTTGTGTATTTCATTAAGCTTAGGGTTTTAAAAATAGATCATATCCAGATATATAATAGTTAATGATAAACAGTATAATAAAACATCTATAAATGTACAATACTTTTATTACCAAAAGGTTAGTAATCATACCAAAATAACATAGAACACAATAAAAATGTAAAAATTTTGGATTGTAATATTTAAAGAATATATGATTAAATATAGCATTTTTTACCTTGTAATAAGCTTAGCACTTAAAAAATAGATTTCATTCAGATATATATATATATATATATATATAATAGTAAATGATCAACAGGATAGTAAAACACAAATAAATATACAGGACTTTAACATAAAAAGGTAAGTAGGCATATCAAAATAACATAGCATACAATGAAAATGTCTAAATTGTAAATTTAATTATAATATTTTACACATTGCAAAGGGAAAAACCCTTATTTTGAATCTTAAGTAATGCCTTTAAGATTTTACACATATTAACACTTTTGTCACAAGTGTAATGTTACACTTAAAATTCATCGTGGACAAAATATTTGTGGTCAGAGTCAAGAAATTCAAAGCGTTTTATTTGGAATACTCCTATATCAGCTGCTCATTTAATGTTTTGTTTAATTTTTGTATCCGCTCATTTAATGACAAGCGTTCTTATAATACGAAAAAGCAAAACAAAGTGTAGCTGTCAATGCTATTTGAATTAACAAACATTATTGTATGACTAGCATGTAAAAGGGAGATAACATTAGAGTCGTTAGTTTATTTTGCAAATTACAGTTATCTTCGCCTTCTGATATTACCATATTCATTATACGATTTTCCACAGATTTTGAAAATATAGTAAAGTTTTTTCTTTACAAGGTTCACATTTACATGCCTTTTCAAGATAGCCATACTTACGAATAGCTAAGTAACTTCAAACACTCCGTCGAAAGTACAATATGATAAATGTACAAGTAGTGTTTATATTATCACATTGATTTGCGTCCCCGCCACCCCTTATGGAATAAAATCAGATTTTGTGAAAGGGCGGCAGCAACTTCTCGGGCCTTTTCGTCGATCATAATAGCCGATCATTCCGATTGGTATGAGGGTGTTTGATTATCAAAAGTGTAATGTCGCGAACAATGAAAAGCGAACTGGAAAATTTCTTATACGTCAATTAATCGCACTCTTCGGGCTTTTTTTATTTATTATTTTGTAGCACACACAGTGGGTTACTGTGTATTGCTGTACCTATAAATAGAATGATGACCTTAACATTGTGAAAGTCCGAAAATCTATTTATAAAAGTAGTTTTAGTTTAACGAAACGGTCATTCGTGTAGCGCAATAAATAACGAACTGGAGAATTTTGCAGGAAATGACATATGAAAAATGAAACATATTCAAACAACTAATTGCACTTTGGATATTATAGACCTGTATATTTTGGATATAATCGTTAATATTGATAGAATTTCAAGTTTCTGTGGAAAAAATACTCTTATCTCTAGCATGCCTTCCAAAGTTCATGATGAACAATGTCTTTAAAACAATTTTGGTAAAAACCAATTACCACTGAAAAAGTTTATAAGAATATCTGGTCATTAGATGTCGACTAGTTCATCTTTACTTGCTGCATTTCTTGTATTGACGCCCTTTGATGCTTTGTATCAATGCTTATCTTGTAATTATATTGAAATTATATACTTAGTGAATTATCCTTCAATACAAACACTGCGTTAATTACGCGTATAATGAATACAGTGATCATAAAATGAACTATATTATTAAGTTGTACATGTATGATCTAAACTAAATGCCCAATAGTACTTATTTCTAAAGCACGAACGCTTAATGCAAATACTGTACACCCGGATACTTTATTCGACTCGTGTAAACTAATTTTCCTCTCCAATTCATTTTCGTTCAACAAACGAACATTAATAATATATCGAATGATAAATAGATAACACATTGATATTAAATTCAAATGTTGTCAGATGCTATTGAATGATACTATATGTTATCCTATGTTATTAAAGGCTACCTGATGTAATAGCATGCCATAAAATGTTACCTTTTGTTATCAAAATGGTATCAAAAATTATCACATGTTATTAAGTATATTGTTTATTTGTTGATCGAGTTGTATTAAACGTCATGATATTTTATCATACACAGTTATCATCTGTAAACAAAAAAAATGTTATGAAATGTTATCATCTGTAATCAAATGTTATCATAAAGCATCAGCAATAAGCATATGTTATCAAAGGTTATATATATATATATATATATAATTATAAATATTAAACGGAGTCGTGTGTTATTAAATGCTATTGTATTAATCAAAGGTTGTCACATGTTATCTTATAATAATTGTTGGTGTTGCAGATGGGTGAAAACCCAAGCCTTTGTCCCTGTCTAATGTGATATTCATCGAGAAAGATGGTCATAAAGCGTTGCAAAAAATAGATATTTGCCGAAATTGTTTTGTAATTATTCTGACAAAAATAAATTTCTCATTTAGTAAAGTTTCACAGGTGTCCGTTTTTCTGTAATGCTTATCACGCATATACGGTTTATATATGATCATGGCAAAAGTTGAACATTTTGTTCATCTGTCTGATCATTTCATAGTAAATGTTCGTCGAACGTTGTCTGAATCTGTAATTAACATTATGATGTTAGCTTTATGAAATAAGTTTTATTGGTCGGCTTGTATCCTTTATCTTGCGAATGACAGGTTTCAAATAATATAGGTTAACTTTAGTTAAACGCAGCTCTGCTCTATGACGTATTTTGCAATCTAACGTAATAAATGTTACTTTCCATTAACAAAAACTGTTTGCCAATAAATATCAAATGGAATCATGTGTAGTCCAATGTTATCATATGTCATTAAATATGACATCATTTGTTTTCAAAAAATATTTTCAGATATTATCTGGAACTATAAGTACTCCGGTAAATGACGAGTAGTAGGTATTATGAGCTGCATAGAGGCTAACACATCCACCAATATTAACCACATCATTTGTTCTTAAATGAAATGTTCCGGTCACACTAATAGAATAACCATCTTTGTCATCACCATACGGATCCCCCTTAGTCGCTACTTTTTCAACATCATTAATCGTAATTGAACATTTTACATAATCGGGTGCATAACTTTTCCATTGTTTTGAAATTTGGAAAGAGAACATATATATTCCGGGATACTTGCACGTAAATTTTCCCGTAGATTTGTCATACCCGTTGCCATAGTTTTGAATTATTTCCGGAAATATTGCTCTGGATCTTCCAGTTATACCGTATGCCGTAAAAAAAACTCTCGTGTCTGAAATACATTCACGGATCAATTGTTATGCATTTAAAATTCTGAATAAAATATATAAAAATAAATATCAAAACAGTTTTTGGTTTAGGGAACTTGACTTCCAATTATAAACATAAACGATTTTATCACATGACGTTAATTTCCTATGTTTTATAACCATAACGAATTTGTGTAAAGTGCAAGTTAATATATTATTATTTTATTATTATTTACATTTTGATTATAGTCATGTAGGAAAAAAATCACACATTCGTGTTCATTTTTTTTTAAATGAGCCTAAGACAAGTAGTATATAAGCCCGCATCATAATAAATTGTCTTGAACTCGTTTTGTTTTATGAAAACGAGTTGTGAGATTCTATATATAAAACCCATTATATCTCAGAAATGCAATTTTTGTTATTTCTCAAAAACTGTATTATTTTTTAGCATCCAAACAGTTATTCATTTAGACAATTTATTAAACCATCTTTTTTGTCTTTTTAGGTTCTATAATTTTTGGCATGGCAGTTAGGATTCTACAGTAACTTTGTACACATTTTGCTACCTTTATGACAAATTATTTCACATTTATAGCAAATTTCTTCAAGTAACAAGCATCTTACATTCTCTAAAACTATTTTCTATTCATGTTTGGCGTTTCAAAATAGGTAAACATTTATTTATTTCTGAAGCATATTGTGCCTTTTATTATGCCCTTCTTTAAAGAAGTAGGGGTATATTGCTTACATTTGTCTGTCAGTCGGTCTGTCGATAGGTCTGTGGGTCTGTCGGTCCGTATACCAAATGGTTTCCGATCAAAAAAAAGAGAACACTTAGGTATGATGATTCCTCATAACCAGCAGATGATCCCTATTGATTTGTAGGTCAAGGGGTCGGAGTTCAAGGTCACAATGAAAAACAGTTTTCGATCAATAACTAAAGAATGCTTAAGCCTAGGAACTTCAAACTTGGCATGATGATTGTTCATGACCAGTAAATGCACCCTATCGATTTTTGGGTCAATGGATCAAAGGTCAAGGGCACATTGACCTTATTGATAAAAACGGTTTCTGATCAATAATTAAAGAACGATTAAGACTAGGAACTACAAACTTAGTATGATGATTGTTTTTGAACAGTTGATAACCCATATTGATTTTGGGGTCAAGGGGTCAAAGGTCAAGGTCATATTGACCTTGTTTGTAAAAACGGTTTCCAATCAATAAAATAAATGTTTAGGCCTAGGAAATTAAAACTGATCATGACCAATTTATGACAGCTACTGATTTTGGTGTCAAGTTGTCAAAGATCAAGGTCACATTGACCTTGTAGGTAAAGATATTTTCCGATCAATAACTAATGAGTGCTTAGGCCAAAAAACTTTTCATTTGGGAGGATGGTTGTTCATGACCAGTAGATGACTGTGATTGATTTTTGGGTCATGTGTCAAATGTCAAGGTCACATTGTTCTTGTAGGTAAAATGGTTTAAGATCAATTACTCAAGAAGGAGTCAAAGGTCAAGGTTATTTTGGCTTTGTAAGTAATAACTGTTTCCGATCAATAACTGGACAAGACGAAACCCTTAAGCTCTTAAACTTCTTTGGTACATTGGTCTTGGCAAGTAGATGACCTCTTGATTATAAAGTCAAGTGGTCAAAGGTCAAGGTCACACTGACCTTGTATGTCAAAACAGGTCTTATCAATAACTGGGCAACCCATGAACCCTTGACATTCAAACTTCAAATGCATTGCTTTTGGTCAAAAAATGATTAAGAGCTCATTTTGACCTTAAAGGCAAAAACATTTTCTGGTCAATATCTCAACAACTCATGGGCCATCTACCTTCAAACTTCACAGGTCAATTGGTCTTAGCCAGTAGAAAACCCCTATTAATTTAAGGGCCAAACCAATAACACAACAACTTATGTATTATAACAAATCGGATATCATTAAGAATGCCTACATGATTCACAAAATTTATGCATAGATTGTTTGGTACGATTTGTGATAACTTTGTCATAAAATTGCTGCACACAACCTTTACGGTCAAGATTACCTAGTGACCAGTCATAACCAGTAGATAACTCCCTCCGGGTTTTTGGTCACTCCGTCCAAAGTCAGTTACAATTACCTGACCACATGACTAATTTGCTGCCGATAGAGGACATACATGTTTTACAAACATATCTTGTATAAATTGATTTGTGAATATCTTTAACGAATCGTTACTTTTCCTTTCAAATGAAATGAATGTCAGCCAACTATTCATGGTCGGTAGAATTTGTAAGTGCCTTAGGCCTTTAGCAATGTAAGCCGTGCGGTTAACACTATTATATATAGGTATAGCGTGGAAATGTGAATCGTGCGATCTTAATTCGATTCCTCGACGATGCAGGTCACTTTTCTTTTGTTAGATCATGAAAGGGTTTGTAAAGTTATTCTCACTGTACGTTGGCAACATCAAAAGTTATCAGTTCCTTGCAAAGGCAACTAGTAATAGTTAACTACTTGACAGCATGCCTAGGAAAGATGCAGTGGTTGAACTGAGCTCTTGTAAATTCAACGTGGTATACTGACGTAATCCGGAGTGATAACTACCAACACCACCACCAACTTATGTAACTTACAAGTAAGCACCTAAGGTATTCTGTCGTCGATAAACTTGAATGCGCCATTTGACCTTTATTGTTTCAGGTTGTATTACAACCAAGACAAAATGTTATAAAATGTTATATGAACTGTTTTTCTAGAGCCAAATGAAGAATTCAAATATCGAAGAACACAATAAATTTAAGATGATAAAGCTATGCCATACATATTTTGTAGGTGAATTGTAATCAATAAATAAAGTTTTCCCCTCAAAATTATGTATCATGTTACCTGGACATGGGTTTCTGTTACAGTATGTTATTTCTACTGGAGAACCTTCACAGTGTTTGCCTTTGAGAGATGGCTTTGGATGTGTGCATGTTCTAGATCTCATCATTACTCCTCTACCACATGTGTCACTGCACGATCCAAAACTACTCCAACTACTCCATCCTCCGTCTAAAACAATAAATTCTTCATTAATTCAGTTTATATTTTAAAGAGTTTTATCTTGTTAAAATAACTATACACCTTTCAACAGAAAACTCTGCACAATATCTGACATGTTTGATATGTAATAGTTATAGTATATGAAACGAGTTAGTTACGAGGGTATAACACTGGCTGGGGCGACATCAAGGGGTGTTTCTGCTAAAAAATGGCGAGGCCGTTAGGCCGAGACAATTTTTTTGCAGAAACATCCCGAGATGTCGCCCCAGCCAGTGTTATACCCCCGTAACTAACGAGTTTCATATACTATAACTGTTTTATCGCAATGGCATAATGTTTTCTTTTTTGTATAGAAACAAATAAATAAATCAATTTTAGCTACATTACAGTTATTTATCATAAGGCAGTTTTTCAAGTTGTTTTCGCTGCCGCAAAAAAATATACAAAAGACATCCAATGTAAGAGGCGGATTGTATACTGTTACCAAGATTGATTTAAGATTAATGGCTTTTTTCATTTCATTAATTATCTTTGTTTATATTTTTCATTGTATTTATATATTTATTTTATTTATTTTATTGATTTCATTTTTTAATTATTTTATGGGTTTTTGCTACTGGGAATGGTCGTTACCAATGCCCATTGGAGCCTCTATGAAAAAAACTGTATTGATATATACAAGGTGCGAAAAAAACTCGACCGATATATAACAGTTGAGTTTTTTTCCTATATGAATCAATGAAAAAACTGTACTGTTATATATCAATACAGTTTTGAAATGCTCATTGAAGTGTACTGAGTATAATGGGTTAGAAAGAACAAAGGAAAAGCTCACAGCCATGCGATAACGTTCGTTCTAATCCATTTACACAGTATATAAAGCTGAATCTGTATATCATGTAATATGTATGTTTTGGAATGAAATATGTTTTAATCAAACTAACAGAACATTCCCGTCATTTTATTGAAACGTTACATTGAAAAATATAATCATATACTAATTATTTCCCGATGGCGATTTCTTTAAATATGGTGCACAATCAGCATTTGACTAGAAAACAAAACAATTAACAGTAGAGGAAACTCATTAATTATACACAAACATGTCTCAGGCCATATAACCTTGTACAATAAATGGTTCGACAGGCTTTATCAAAGCAATTCAATTATTTACATATATTTAAAGTGTTGAAGTTGGTTCTGAGAGATCTGCCTCTTTTCCATATTTTTGAAAGGTGTTCGTTTCCCGGAACACTTGTAGAGGTCTTCAACCAGAAAGACTTTCACTTTTAAAAATGGGTTTTACGTTTTTGATAAAAAACTTAAACATTTACAGCATCAGTGGGTGAAGATAACACGATGGTCACAGGAAAATCGTGGCTATACATGTACTTTATTATCAACCTTTAAAGCAACATCCATCAGATGCATGCTTATTGTCATGAACATTAAGGAAATGTATTTCAAAGTTTAATTTTGTTACGCGAATAAAGAAAGTACCGGTAATCTGCACATTGCAAACGGCACATACAACCCAAGTAAATTTCCAAAACGAGGTCAAATTATAAATAACTCATGCGGTAGATATGGTAATAAATACCGCAATATCAGAGCTAAATCGCATATTACATGCAAATCATTACTTGAATCCTAAATCATTTTACTTTTAATCTTAAATTAAATATGCTTTTCTCCAGTTTAATTTTCTTGAGATACTTTAGCTAAATAATCTTTAGGTACGCTTCTTTAATACATATTCGTATATATACAGTCAGATATCAAACAAATGAAGACTACCTGTCTCGTCCTTAAGTGTAATATCCTCCAGTTTTGATAGCGTTTTCCTTATCTTAGACACTTCATTTTCAATAACATCAAAGCTTGACTGTACGTCAATTTTATAATCATTTATGGTGTAATTAATGGTTATTACTTGTTGAATCATCTCGACTTTAAATTCTTTGTTTTCAATAGCAACTTCTTTCTTGAACTTGTCGACAAGTTGTCCAGATGTTCTTGTAAAGTTTACACTGTAGTCTTCAATATTCTTTATCTTTTTTATCATTTCAAGTTCCATATTCAATCTTTTTAGTTTTTCCCCTTTGAATGCCTTTTTTATTGTTTTATGTAACAGTTCCATCGCGTTTTCACTGTCATTGTTCATGTCAAGGAGATTGTCTGTTTTGTTAGAAACTAAAGCGAGTGCAGACTCAATCTTGTCTATGCGTTGTCCGTGTATTCTATGTTTTATATCATCCGTCTTGTTTTCAATATAAGATTCAAACTGTGGTACTATCCTTGTCAATGTTGATTCGATTGTCTCTATTCTTTTAATATCATTTCTTGTTTTGTCATGACTGGTATCTAGGTCTTTTGACATGTCGGAAACTAAAATAAGGTAAATAAATGATGATATGATTGCGGCAAAATCTCACCTTTTTATATGTTTTTTTATTCGCTTTGTTCAAATAATTTAAATAATTATGTCTTAAAAACATGCACACATTTTAGAAATCACTTTGGAAACAATTGATAAATAAAAATCTTTTTCACAAGATATCAGTTCCAGTCATTCCGATAGGCGTAAAACCTTTTTTATTAAGATGTTTTTATATTATTCTTTAACTCACTTATTAACCTTTTCTTTTTTAAGATTCAGTTGTAATTAAGTCAATATTGTTTTTTTCTAATAACACTAACATTAATAATAACAGCTATCATTAATATTACAATGTACCATCACCCCCATAATGTAAGTGATAAAAAACACATTTTCGTACGTATTCAAAATACTGATTAAGAAAACCAAAAAAAAAAGAAATGTTTTTAATATATTTACGAACATTTATATGATTAATGATAATATTTTTCCCTACGTATTCAAAATACTGATTAAGAGAATCCGAAAGAAATGTTTCATTTTGATAAAAGCTGATTACTTTTTTGATAAGTGATATGTATGAACATTTGTATGATGCATGATTATATTTTGTTCTAAAACAGTTAATTCTCTGCTATATTTATAAAGGTTGTATCGAATCATGTATCTCAAATAAGTCAACAGCATCCACATATATTTTTTTTTTGGTTTGATAATATATGTTATAATAAACACTATCAATATAATTGCACATTGTGTTACAACAATTCTTACATAACAGTCCAAGTCGCGTTAATGATAACTACTAATCAGAAGTAATTATGATGATATCATATAACTTCTCTAATGTGTGTTACATATTGATAAAATATCTCAAAATAAATAAATAAATAAATAAAATAAAATACATGAATAAATAAATAAACAAATAAATAGATAAATAATTAAATACTGTAGATACATACATATATTAATATATAATAATTTAAACAGATCATAAGAAATACTAATAAAACAAAATAAATTAAAAAGAAAAATAAAATAAAATGAAAAAAAAATGAATTATAAAACAATAATAAAATAAAAGAAGCTATGACACAAAACTGAATTAAAACATGTTCATTTTCCTGTCTTTTGAATATTACAATTATGACTGAAAACAATTCAATACATTTTGTCAATCGTCTTGCTAGTTAAAGTTTCATTAGTTCTAATATAAATTTACAAATTTAAAAACGAATTAAAAATGCATTGATAACCAGTAAATAATTTTAAGGCATTCTTATTATTTCTTTGTTTGGCCTTATAAGATATTTGAAACACAAGAAAAAAGTTTTCTTTTGAAAAAATGAAGCAACTCAAAACACAGAAAACACAATAAACGCAATCTACCTGTTTCTGAATGTTGATGATTCATCGTCTTAGAATGTGTGCTTGAAGCCTCCAACCTTCGCAGGCGTGACGCCATTTTAGAATTTTCAAGCTTAATTTGAAAGAACTCTTTTTGCATTACTTCCTGTATAGCAGATATAGTGTTACAATCACATTCCATGTTACCATTAACACTATTAAAAATAAGTAGTAAAATCAACTGTAAGAAATGCATGTTATACATCATGAAACGTAACTTATTGTAAACTCACAACGAAATTTTGCAGTGATCTACAAGTAATGTTAAACATGATCATATGATTTTCTGGAAGGAGAGAAAACTGCGCAGTTGTATTTACATCATAATTGTTCCAGATTATTATACTGCGTCATATCCTTGACATATTTTTTTTTTCAGATATAAACAACATAAATCTGAACAAGCATTCAGAAACATATGTTTTAAAAATACTTGATGTAAGGCATGGCGGCATTTTATTACGTTAATGTGTTTTAACACTTTTCAATGATGTAAGAGAAATTTAGAAAGTGAAAAAAATACAACATGTATGCACAACTGTTCTCAACGTTTATCTTCAACAAAGTAAAAAATGGTGGAAAAGAAATATACGTTTGATCTTTAATTGATTAATTTACAATACCATCTCGTAATGTTCCTTTCAATACTTGATAATAAACAAAAAAAATAAAGTAATAAAAAATCATAAGATATTATCGTACGGTATTTTTATAGTACATTATTCATTTATTATACATTACTTTATAATATTCTTTTTTTTTGCACATGATGATAAGACATAAAACATAAGGAAATCATAAATCGTAAGAGCTTATAGTGCGGTATGTACGTTTTACTTTTTATTATTCATTTACTTACAATGCCAACTCTTAATATACTTTATTTCACATATGATTATTAAACATAAAAACACAAAATAAATCATGAATTAAAAGCTATCATAGTACGGTATTTCTTGATTCACATTAAATCCTTTTGACTCATATGCTTAGGAACATTTTTGGTGAACTTATAAGATTATCCTTTCTTCAATAATTAATACAGTTGTTGGTTTAATTTTGTTTCCTGTGTCTTATTAATCATTATAAACTAAGTACATATGGACAATGCACATCGGGAGGGAAGGGAAATTTACTATTTAATGAACGTGTAGTTAATTAAAACCTCTGTGAAAAACACGTACATAAATAAAACGAGAAAGCGTAGTATTAACAGGGACTCTTTCAATGTAATTTGCATGCGCAGCAGTTGTAAAAGATTTTTTCTGAGTCTAAGGTTATGATTTATCAGAAGTGGGAGCCCATTTCAAAACAAAATCGTCATGAAAACAGTACGAGTATATTATTAAAGCCATGGTGCTTTGCTATAATTCACGCAGCGAGTCGAGTATTAAAATTGACTTTATTGTAACCTCGAAATTTGATTCGTTTTAAACGTGTCACTGTTTATCGTCAATTTTCAAATTGTTCTCTTAAATAAATTGCGAAGAAATTACGTTTTAAAGATATTTAATAAATGATATAAAACTTATTTTTTTGGCTATTTATATTTTTCTCTGAAAATTATTTTCTAAATCAAATTTCATTAAAAAGTAGCATCATAGTGATGTCATAGTGATTCGATATGAATTTCTCACAAGATGTAGATCACATTTAAGAAAAAGGGTAGATAATCCTGCCTGATATGCAAGAACAAAAGCATATACATTGTATCATGATATCAGGTTAGCATACAGATTACGACAGGTAAAATAAAATTATTTTTCATTAAATTGTATTCCTTTTGATTTTTGATTTTGCTTAAAGGGTTGATGTATTTATAAAAATGACACCGTGACCCTAAGAGACGAATTAATCGAAGAACTAGCGTCTTTGCATCTCCTAGCTTTAGCAGGTACCAGGATTCTGGCACCTGATATTGCTTTGTAAGTAACACAACACCCGAGTTT